CTAGACACAGCCAATAGAATCACAGGGACAAATGATCGACATATATTTCCACCAATGGAAAAAAAAGGAAGTTTCAATAAAGGACAGTTGGGTATAAAACGGGACTAATGGTCCCCCTACTCCATCCCCACCTCTTGCCAGTCCTGATGCTGCTTCCCCACTTCCCCCCACTTCCCCAGCCCCGTCTTCCCCTCCCTACCTGATGCCCGATGCCAGGAGCGGTGCAGCAGGGACAGGAGGAGGAGAGGCCGCTGAAGCTGAACTGGTCCCCAAGAGACTACCGGGGTAACAGTCAGAAAAAGAAGAAGCTGCACAGTTTCTGTGGCAAGAGCAGCTGCGCTGGAAAGCTGCAGACGCCAGCCAGAGCCAGAGCCCTCTCGCGGGCAAGGCTGGGGATGCAGTGGGTGCAGCCCCAGCAGGAGCCCAGGGGCAACCGGGGCTGGGCCAGATGCAATTAATTGCTGGGCATTAATTGATGATGACTGTCACAACCCAAGGGTGTGATTTTGTTTGTGCGCGCTTCGGCACTGCTAAATTATTTCCCGCTTTCCGATTTTAAAGGAGCTTTCTCTGCAGGGTGCATTTCTTAGTTGCAAAGAGAAATGCACGGTGCAAAGGAGTTCCCACCATTCGCATGCAAATTTGTGTCCCACTATTGGCTGGTTCTAAATTATTCCCACGTGGCAGCTAGTGATTGGCTTGCTAGCCGTATAAGAGGCTTGAGCGGTTTCCGCCCAAGTTGGAGAACTCCGAGGAGAACCCCGCAAGGGAGGACTCCACAACCATCTGGAGGAGGAGGAGGACTTCACGTCTCGTGAAGATCTCTAAGCGCTGCGGAGCCTATCGAACCCAGCGCAGGCTACAGGGGTCTGATCAACCTCTGGCCTCTCCCCGTCACCGAACGATCCCTCGACGAACCCCTTCCCTGCGCGCAAGTTCCACGGAGCCTAGCAAACTTCGTGTGAGTGTATCCAGAGCTCTGCCCGGGTTCGAGTCCTGCAGGTTTATCTTCCCGTCGCCGAAAACCCCCTGCGACGTACTCTCGTGCCCTGCAGGTTCGAGTTTTGTTTTGTTTTGTTTTGTAACTGCAACTCAAGCGAGTTTTCCTGCCTGCACCGCGACCATCTTCGGTGTAAGTAAAATAATCTTTAATCAACCGCTAAGCGTCCGTGCCTAATTCTAGCCTGCCGGCCTGCATTCCCCGACCCGGCGTGTCCGGGCTGCTGGCCACAGCCCGCCGCGCACAGGCCCCCGAGGGCCTCGGACCGCTCCCGGCCCGCACAATGACCTGTTGGAACGGTTCCAGCACGTGCTGTATTTTGCCCACCCCTGGCTTGGGGTGTCCCCTTGCTCCCTGTAGAGGCTCTGCACCCCTCTCTCAGCCCCATCCGCACCCTCCCACATGGCGGGGAATGGACAGACTGCCGGTTGTTGGGTTGGGGAAAAAACCCACTGTGGGATACAGCTCAGTGGGGAGGAACTTACCTTAGTGGCAGCAGGCAGGGGCCAGTGGATCGGCCGCCAGGAGCACCCACAGGTGAATTAAAGACAGCTGCCATGAACAAAAGCAATTGTTTTTGGATATTAGAATTGACAGCCAAATTGCTATCCACTGAAGAGCATTTATTGCAATGTATCCTCTTGACTACTGATTATTGGATGCACAGGCTCCCTGGATCTTCCTTGGTCCCCAGAAGAACTCAACAAAGGGCATTTCCATGATGTGTGTAGGGAGCCAGTTGCCCCTGGAGGTGTCACACTTGGCTCCTGCTATCGTCACATGCCCCTTTGCCCTTGTCTTGCCTGGTTTTGGGGTAGAAGAGTGACCATGCCCCCTCCTCTGCTCTCCCAGCTTTTGTGACCCGGCTCCCCAACAAGTGGATGTCTCCTCAGTTCATCAACTCGCGGCAGTTGGCTCCTGTCTTTTCTGTTACCTTCTGTTTCTGTTGACTCTGGAGGATGGGGAGGGAGCGTAGGGGTGGTGGAGGGCCCAACAACACCGCCCTGCTTCAAACACATAGGACATAAAGGGGAAGGTCCTAAAATTCAGACTGAAACTGCGGCATGTGGCAAGCCTTTTCTGTTTGTGGGTTGCATAGTGTAAAGGTGAACTTCCTCCTCTTGTACGATTTAACTTTAACAGCAAGGTATGGCAGACAAGAAAAGCCAGAGGCGGTGGGTACTAGGGCTGTGCAAAGCTTCGGATCATGATTTGGATTTGGAGATAATTTGGATGATTCAGAGGCTGAATCTACGAATCCAAATCAAATTGCAGGAAGCTTAAGTCTTTCTGATCCGATTCAGAGCTTCCAATTCGATTTGGAAAAGATTCGGAGATTCGGCCATAGGGTCTAATGGGGAATCAATGAAATAGCTATAACTTTGTTGTCCTTTGACTGATTCAGATGCAACTTGCAGGGATGGTAGCCTCTTCTGAGAGCATGAAGCATGCCAAGTTTCAGGATGATAGGTGCAGGGGTTTCTGGGAAACTGCACCACAAAATTCTGAAAGCAAAACTCATGTTGTGTGTGTTAAGCCACAGCGGGGTGAAAACCACAGGGGTGGTAGCTCTTACTGAGGCCACAAAACCTGCCAAGTTTCAAGGAGATACGTGCAGGGGTTTGGGGGGAACTGCACCTCAAGCTGCGGACAAGCAAAACTCGTGACATGGGTGACCCTGCGTGTGTTAAGGCGCAGCAGGGTGACAGCTGCAGGGATGGTGGCCCCTGCTGAGGACACAAAGCCTGTCAGCTGTCAAGGAAATCAATGCAGGGCTTCTGGCTTCTGGGGCCTGCACCCCTAGCTGCTGACAGGCAACATTCGTGACATGGCTGCTTGTGCAACTGACTGTCTCTGTCTTGGGGCATGGGGCAGGGGGAGGACCTACTGCTAAGCTCCTGTCACCAGTCAACCATGACTCCCTCAGGGACCAGCTCAGTACACAGGACCTAGCTACTACATAACGAGCTAATGAGCATGGATTAACACCTACAAAACCACAGACTAAGGAGTGGGAATAATCAATACAGACAATCAACTGCACAGTCAGTCCCACAAGCACCCGTGTCATGAGTGTTGTCTGTCAGCAGCGTGGGGTGCAGGGCCCAGAGCCCAGAACCCCTGCACCGATCTCCTCCACAGCTGGCAGACTTCGTGGTCACAGCAGGGGCCACCATCCCTGCAGCTGTCACCCCACTGCACCTTAACACACACAGGGTCACCCATGTCACGAGTTTTGCTAGTCCACAGCTTGAGGCGCAGTTCCCCCCAAACCCCTGCACGTATCTCCTTGAAACTTGGCAGGCTTTGTGGCCTCAGCACCCTTGCAGTTTTCACCCCACTGTGGCATAACACATACACGTGACATGAGTTTTGCTTTCAAGAATTTGGGGTGCAGTTTCCCCCAAACCCCTGCACCCATCTACTTGACACTTGGCAGGCTGCATGCGCTCAGCAGAGGCTACCATCCATCCAAATTTCATCCAAATTGGACAAAAAAACAACAAAGTTATAGATATTTCATTGATTCCCTATTATACTCTATGGCCGAATCTCCGAATCAGCTCCGAAGCTTCAGAACCGATTTGGCTGAATCGAAGCCGGAAACCGATTCAGAGCTCCAAATCGAATCCCTGGCATCTGAATTGGCTGAATCTGAACCCGAATCAAACAGTTCCCTATTTGCACAGACCTAGTGGGTACCTATAAGCCAATTTAGGTCAGGGTAGTACAGAGTCTCTGGCATCAACCCCTGAGGCACCCACCCTCCCCTTTTCCCTTGTAATACACCCGTTTTCATTTAATATTTGCTTGCAAGGGGCCAGTTTGTTCACATCAGAAAGCCCACTTCAAATGTACTTTACCGGGTTTCTGGGTGGGGGTAAATTAGAAACTTTGGTGTAAAACTCCTACAACAGCTGTTGTTTCTGCCATGCAGCACCTGACAGAGCAGCAACATACAGGCTTCCAGGGTGAGTATCTACTGGCAGGCTGGCACTCAAAAACTGAGCTTCAGGTCAAGCAGGGACCTGGCCCAGGAGAATCCCTGGGTGGTGGTGACATGTTTTGGGGTGATACAAAGTGGGCTTTGCCTAGTAATCCCAGCCAAAATCAGCTCCTTATTCATAGCAATGTAAAAAGCACTCAGGATTGGGGACTAGCTGTCAGCAGACTGGCTTCGGGGTGGGAAACGCTGTGCCCAGGCTTCTTCACAAGAGCCAGCTGGAGGTGGTGATGTGTTTTGAAGTGACCCAAAAAGGATTTTGCCTGAGAACCCCATCCAAAACCCAGCTCCTCATTTGGGGCAATGTATTTATTACACAAGGTCAGGGTTGGTGCCTGGTGCTGTGTCAAGGATGAAAGTAGTTTTACAAAGAGTTTAATTAATAGATGAGACAGAGATTGATACAGATGATTTGGACAGGGCTGATCTTGCATCGACAGGGGTTGGATTAGATGTGGCCTGTGGTGCTCCCTTCCAGCCCCACGGCTCTAGGATATCGGTGCAGGGCCAGTGTTGGGTATCACTTGGCCAGGAACAAATTCAGTCTGAAAGTTTAATTTCCCACCCCCAGCAAGTGGTTTGGGAGCATCGTGCAGGTTTGAAGATGGAGCTGGCTCGGCCTGAGGTCTACCTACAGGGGCAGAGGGATGCACTCCTGCCCCTACATGCGCCCTAGCGCAGCACTGCAGCCCCCCACATCCTGTGCACCCACCTGGGATAGGAGCACAAGCCTGCTAGCAACTCCCAGGGCCTGAGCCTCTATTGAAAGGTAGAAGAGAGCCCAGGTTCAATCCCTGCTCACAGTCCAGTGTGGGCAGTGGCAGCCTTTTGGACCCAAAAGAGACTTTATTCCCCCTGTCTTGGCTCCAGCATTCCTGCCCTTCTACAGAGGCTTCCCATTGCCAGCACTGACCTGGTCAAAGCAAACAAGGGCATCAAAATCCAGCAAGACCATCCCCACCCCAAACTTAATAAAAAGCAACAGAGGCAACAAAGTCCAGCAAGCTGCTCAGTGTGGATCTAGTTTAATTTCCTGCGTGGGCCAAGCCAGCCCAGCAGCAGCAGAGCAGAAGTTCAGTGTTTAACCACTAGTGCAGACAGTTGGGGCTAAGCAGCCCTGTGCAGCATGGAGAAGGGCAGCGCTGGAGGCATCGGCGTCGGAGAGGGGACCGCAGTCCTGTGCAGGCGGGAGCGCTGGGGCGCTACACCCTGCGGGGAAAAGACACAGGGCAGGGGTTACACAGGGCAGCAGAGAGGACCAGCAAGGCACAGACCCTGCCCTCTTCCTCCACAGGGAGGATTGGAGCATAGGAGAGCAGATTTAGGAGCCAGGAAGCCGGGGGTCTCAATCCCAGCTCAGCTGCAGAGACCCTGCAGCCTGTGCATGACACGACACCAATAATGCTGCTGCCCCCTGCAAGCTCTCGGATCCTGCTGTGCCTGGTGCTGTACACACAACCCCAGACTCGGTGTTGGCATCAGACCCACCTATGGGGAGGAGCAGGGCAGAGCTTTGGGGCCAGTGGGGAGAGACAAGACTGGGTAGGATGAGCAACCTAGGCAGTAGGTTGAAGCATGAAGCAGGAGGACCTGGGGGGCCTTTGCTGCAGGGTTGTGAAAGGCTGGAGAACCCCAAAAAAGAGCCTTGACATGCAAGCCCCTCCACAAGTGCAGCTACTTCTGGGGTGGAGCGGAGATGCTTTCCCCACACAGTCCAGGGTAGCCAAGGAGCTGGGCATCTCCCAAGCTCCAGAGGCTGGCAAAGACAGAGGGTCTCAGCCTCGCTGGATGCTTGGCACCAGCCCCGCAGATGTTGCTCATTGGTTGACAACAGGAAAAACAAGTCCCGGAGCTCCAAAACATCCCCCATGCAGAGCCTGACACTGCTAGTGGCCTAGGCCACGCAAGCTCAAAGTGCCCCCACTCCAGCCAGCCCCAGCTGTATTGCACGGGGGGCTCTGGCAGACGCCAGCCCCTCGCCCCCGGCACTCACACGTTGTTTTGCTTGTAGAGCCGCAGGGCTTCGTCGGCCACCACCTCCATGAACTTGGGGTCGTCCCAGGAGATGTCACCAGGCACCGTCAGGACCAGCGGCTCCGAGTCAAAGATCTGCACCGTCACCTGGGTGTCAGCTGGCAGCGAGGGGTCCCGGGGGTCAGGGGTCTTCGAAAGCACCTAGGGGAGAAAGCGTGGGGTCCAGTGAGCCCAGAGCTGGGGCTGCAGCACCTCCAACCCAAGCTCACCCCATGGAGACCTGGCAGCAACCTCTCCCAGCTCTCAGCCCCCTGCCCCTGACCCCGACCAGCCCCTGGTGCAGCCTGACCCTGCTGTACCCATGCACAGACCTGTGCAGCATGAGCTATGGGTGACTGACAGCACTATAACTTGAATCAAACATATCCAAAGCTGCAGAAATAGGACTGAACGGCAAGCCAAGGGCCTGCATCCTAGATGCTCTGTATTACGATTGCATCCTAAACCATTAATAACTCAAGTGACCAAATGTATTAAGAGTTATGTTGCTAAAATAAATGTATTTTTGCTAGCAGGTTCCACTAATTATAGACAAAGGCAGCCTTGAGGGTGAAAAAAAGAGAGTGAGGTAGCCTCGTCAGTACATAACTGACCGAGGCCAAAGGGCAAGCCACAATGGGAGATAAATCTTTCCTTCTGCTATTTCAGAAATAAATTTCAATTGATTAATGAGATCTTTATTAAAGATTACCAGATGATTAACAGACAGGGGTCAGACAACCTAAAAACTAGCTCAGGTGATCCCTTGACCCCTTTCCCAGGGCCACTAAAGTCTGGTGCTAGTTTCAAAAGTTCCAGTAAACAAAAGACATTTAAATAAAACCAACCCGAGATCAAGTATTAGCATGGCAAATCAACCAGCTATAAGAATAAGGCTGCAGAAGCAGGGTCTCGATTAATACTAACAAGTCTTTGCTACTGTGCATCCCAATAAAGCTTTCGAGTTGTGACTGGAAGGGTCTCAAGGATCAATTAATCTCACTCCTAACCACAAGTCCAATCAAAAAGGTAATAACCCTGCCCAGCTCCACGTTCACAGCAGCCAGAGCCACTGGGGCCCTGCAAGGTCCCTCTGGGGCTCTGGTCCCACGGGGCTGTCGGGACACAGAGGCACTTTGTGGCAAGGACAATGGTCCGGTTGTCCCTGGCTCAGGCCTGACCCACTTTCCCTCCTTCCAGCTTCCCTGGGAGCTGGTGCTTGGGCACAGCAGAGGCAGTGCAGCTCCACGCCCCAATTGCACTGATTGCACCACAAAGGATAGCTGGAAGTGGGGAGAGCTACCCCCCACACCCTGGCACCACGGAGGCTGCCCAGGCCACCAGCCAGCACAAGAGAAGAGCTCACCCCCCGGCACCTGCTCTCTACACTGGGCAGCATCCAGAGGGGCCTGCCTAGGTGGGAGTTGTGGTCCCTTGGATTCCCAGGCTCCAAGGAGGTCAGCCCACAGCACACACACCCCTGCCCCAGGCACGAGGCTTCCTCTCCATGCCAGTCTCTTGCAGCAGGCTCTGGACGTGCTGCCCAGGTCCCACATTCCCTTCCCTCCCTAAGGCAAGTGCCCTCCGACAGGAGGCTGTGGACCTGGTCCTCTCCCTTACTTTCCAGCCATGGCCAGACCTGCAACAGAAGTGCACGTGCACATGCACCCCCCAGCAGAGCATCAGTGCAGTCCTCTGTGCAAAAACCACATGCTAGCTCCCAGTGGAGCATCAGCACATCCCCCCTCTGTGCATCACACACACACACACACACACACACACACACACACAACGAGCCCCAGAGCGGCATCACCACAATCCTCTAAGCATCACACCCACAGGAACTCACCGTGGTGACTTGAAAGAAGCCGTCGTCGCGGCCGCTGCCGTTCTGGGTGAGGTTGGCCAGGCGGGACACCCAGCCGAACTGCCGGTTGAGCTGGTCCAGCAGGCGCGAGGTGTTGAGCATCTCCTGTTGGAAGGCCTCCAGCAGCTCATCATAGCGGTGGCTGAAGCGCTCGGCGATACGCAGCGCGTCCTCGAACTGCTCCCGCAGCTGGCTATGTGCTGGGTCCGAGCAGTCTGTGGGGACGGGGTCGGGCACAGCATCAGGGATGCAGCCCCCAGCCCTGCCCCATGGCAGCAGGAAGGTGTGCCCAGGCTCTGTGGCAGGCTCAGCCCTTGCATCCCTGCACTTGCAAAGCGTGGGAGGGGGGCACGTGGCTGCCCATCTCGTGGAAGCAGCAGCCAGGCCCCCGCTGTGCCTCCCCCTCTCCACCAGCACTTGGAGGCCAGGAAAGCCGAGTCAAAAGCCTGCAGTCACCATGCAAGCCCCCTTGAACTGGCTGCAGCCCCCCACCCTAGGGAGAACACCCCAGGGCCCCATCCTCAACAAGGATTCCCCTGTGCCCAGCCCACGGCAGCCCGCGGTTCTGGTACAAGAGGCCCCAACTCCCCGGCCCCCCTCTACTCATATCCTAACATCTGAGGTCCGAGGGAGGATCCATGTCGTTGCATCCACACAAGCCCAAACTGAACACTGATCAGAATCACAGAAAAATTCAGGTTGAAGGGACCTCAGAGGTCATGTCTAGTCCAACTCCCTGCTCCAAGCAGGACCAGCCCCAACTACAGCATCCCAGACAAGGCTTTGTACACGTGGGTTTTGTACACCTTGGTGTCCTTTGCAAACATACCACGGATGCACTCCACTGCGCCACAGAAACCTAAGGTGCTTAAACCACAGATGCAGGATTTGGGAATTGGAGGGGGGGGTGGAATGCCTTCTGCTGACCAAGCCAATGCCAGTGGAGGGGTTGAAGGGTGGGGGCACCCTGAGCAAGCTCCCAGGTGACACTGCTCACCCACGGCCAGGATCTCCTTGCACTTCTCGCACCGGTCCTTCATCTTGAGGCAGCCGGCGGAGTTGCGGCGGATCTCGCGGCACACCATGCGGGCGTCGCTGGTGTTGTAGGTCTCTGCAGGTGGGATACACGGCGTTAGATCTCGTTGTCCCCCTCCCCGTGCTGGCTACCTGGGCAGCACAGCGCCTTGCACCCCCTGG